GCCGCAGTTTGGAAGTCCTGCCAATTGTTACAGATTTGTTCAAATGTGGTCAATTGCCCAGTGAACACACCTGCTGGTAGATGGGAAGGGGTGTTGAAGGTCGCACTTGGATAACGAATGACAGGGAAATCCCAAGCAGTCACTTGATCAAACACGCTCATGCAAAGCGAGCCATCAGAACAGACCCGTAGATGCATACCTAAAAAAGTACATGATCCATCTGCCATTGTAGTTTCCTTCCACTCTATAGTAGATATGCCATATTATATGGTGATGATTGTGGGACTTAGAGGGAGATTACTATTATTCAGCTGTCACATTGAAGTCGTCACTCTCTTCTGACTTCTTCCCACACTTTGTCTCTATCTTCCACCTCATCTACATTGTGGATTTCTCCCTATGTGTCTTTCCCGCAAGGAGGAACCTCTGTTCCATGTGTTATTTGGCTGTCACATTGAAGTCGTCACTCTTCTGACTTCTTCCAACACTTTGTCTCCATCTCCCACCTCATCGTCATTGTGAATTTCTCGCTGTGTCTTTCGTGCAAAGAGGAACCTCTGTTCCATGTATCCTCCCCTCCTTGTAGTTCTACATGATTCTGATGTATGAGTGTGTTGAGCCATGAGTCTGATGAGTTGGGTCGTTCATTTTCAGTCTTCAGCTGCATTGTTTGCATGCCTTTCTTCATGTTGTTATATTCCTTGGTTCTGCGCATTGCGTCTCTCCTGACAGGCATGCATCAGTCTTGCTCCCCATTTGCCATCACATTCCATGGTAGGGTCTACTTGTTCAACGGAATCCCAAACTCACTATTAGAAGTATACCAGGGGATTCATGTAACTATGCCATATAAGGTTGCAAAATCTTTGATTGCTCGTCATTATGTTCCATGGCTTCTGATGTCTGCTGCAGGTTCTATCCAGGTGGACGAGGTATCAATGTTGAATACTATGCAGGACCTTACTCCCCCCCTGCGGGATTACCATCAGGAGGGAATGCTTCTAACTCGACACTCATCCAAGCTCCTAGAGTTATCACAGACCTGATGGAGGTCACAGAAGAAATGCTAGAGTACACCTACGTGAAAAAGTGAGCCATTTTTCTTGATCTGCTTGTGAATAAGCTCAATAAAAACTCCTGAGCCCTTTTTTCAAGTTTTTTGTCCTTTTCTTTTAAATAATAAAATAGAAAGCTCAAAAAAACTCCTGAGCCCTTTTTTCAAGTTTTTGTTCTTTTTTTTTTTTAACAGGACCTTATGAGCCTTGATGAAGAGATTGCTATTTGAGTACAGATTGGATTTTCGGTGCCGTTGAGAGAGATGCTGCATCTCTCTTGCCTGTTCCCCATCGAGTCACCTTCCCGATCAGGCCATACCACAGCTTTCCTGGCTTATTGAGATGGGGTGGAGTGTTAGTCCATTTTTCATTGTTTGTTACTGAAAGAGCTCAACGAGAACCCTGATGCCTCTGTCTGTGTCTGCCCTAGAGCCAAAGTAAAATACATGCAAAGCATGCCATGCTGGTAGAGTACCAAGCGGACTGGTACAAGGTGAGAAAGCAAATCAGAGATGACCCAAATAAAAAAGCAGTAGTTGATCACCAGATTTGTAAAGGAGAGTCTGAGGTCGGGGAAGCTCGACTCGCTGGAAAATGGCCTGCTCAATTGGAGGTGGCATCCACAGACAAGGGATGGAGAGGATGGTCGTCCAATAGGGCAGATCTGGTTTGCCCACAGTGGATTGGTTGTCGTAAGTGTCAGTATAGCATCAGAGTAGATTTGAAAGCATCGGGCGGCAGGGTGGCGGACTTTTAGTACAAGGGTCCACTTCTGCAGAGGGCCGCAAAAAGTGAGGTCCAGTCTTTATTTGGAAAGAACCTGCTCAATTGGAGGTGGCATCCACAGACAACGGATGGAGAGGGTGGTCGTCCAATAGGGCAGATCTGGTCTGCCCACAGTGGATTGGTTGTCGTAAGTGTCAGTATAGTATCAGAGTAGATTTGAAAGCATGGGGCGACAGGGCGGCTGGCTTTTAGTACAAGGGTCCACTTCTGCAGAGGGCCGCAAAAAGTGAGGTCCAGTCTTTATTTGGAAAGAAAGAACATTGCAGGTAGGGAAGAACAGGGTACATAGGCAAGGGGGAGGCTAGAGTTTAGGGTTTAGTAGGGTCATTCAGGTGTAGATGTAAGAGGTTATTTTAGGGACTGAGTTTTATGTATGTTTTATCGGGAGGTAAATTGATAGAGGGCGGGGCTCTGAATAATAGCATGGGCTGGACTGACAGTCAATCCTTCCCTGAGGGAAGCAATCAATGCTGTCAGGGTTCTCCGGGCCGTAACGTGGGGAAGCGTGTTGAAGGGTTGTACTCAGTTTGTTGACTTGCCACAGGAATAGGAACCAGACTGATACTCCCCAGAATAGAAGGAGCCTGGCTTTGCTGTTAAAAAAAAAAAAAAAGAAGAGAGAGAGAGAGAGAGAGAGAGAGAGAGAGAGAGA